GGCGTGCAAAAAGGGAGTGTAGGAGCATGATTGCCGGTGATGGCAAACAGGGGGCGCCGGCTGGTTTGGTGCAGAGCAGGGGCGAGGTGCAGTAGCAGAGCAAGGGCTGGTTCGTGCAAAAGGGAAAAAGGGAAGAATCTAGACCCTCTTTTCTTTTTCTTTTTTTTTAATTGGGTTTTTGGGTAGTTAGGATTTGGGCTTGGCTTTGGGTTTTGATGGGTTTTGGGTTTGGTATTTGGGTTTTGGATTTGAAAAATGAAGATGTATTAGTTAAAGAAAAGAGAGATTGTCATATTTTCATATTTTTTTGATTTTTTTTTATTTTTTTAATTAATTTTTGTGGTTAATATATATATTTTTTGCTCTTTTTTTTATATATGAAAAGCTTAAATAAGCTAAATGAAAAATTGGGTTATGACATCCGTCCATCCCCCCCTTCTTTTTTTGCTAATATCCCTAAGATTGAAGAATGAGACAACTTAGTCCCCTAACAAGATCCCTTTTCATATTAGTCATCTCACACATGAATTAAATAAATAAATTATTCAACATAAGTGCTCAAAATTTGGGGTGTTACAAATAGGCTCCCTCAACAATATAGAAAGTAGCTTATTGTTTGCTCATTTTGTGTCTTCATGGCTAGAAAATACTGATTACTATGCATGAGCTTTATCATAAAAATTTTAATAAAAATGAATTGATAAAAAGCTTGACACTTAAGAATATTTGTCAACCCAATTTTGGGGAAGTTAGCCTTCAAATGAAAATTGAGCAGGTAATTGAAGTTGGAGCAGTAGGGATGAACATTCATCAACTTTGTTGGAAAGTAATACTGGCAATATAATCCTCCAACCATATGAATTTTTTTAATCTCTCATGTACGTGCTAATCAAGCAAGTATTTACAATTCTTCATCTTCTTTTGTGACTTGAGATTAAGAAGTTGTCTAGCGAAGATAAATGACTTAAACAGTGATGGAGACATAGCAATAAGCTACAAGCTATTAAATTCATAGCAGATTGCTCCATCCAAGTGAAATATGATGATGTGAAGTAGAGCAATGACCCTCCATCTAAAGAATGTGAGAATTAGTAATGATGGACATCTTGTTCAAGAGATAGAGTAAAGATGAAGGCTCTTTATAACTTGTAATAACTATAGGCCGGAACCAATAAGCTTTGCTAAACCCTCCTTTTACCAAAGATGATAAAATGATTATGAAGATGAAATGGGCACACATATATTGACATACTCATAATGGACCCAATATGTTCAAGAAGACTTTCTGTTCAAGATAGAGTTTTTCAACAGAGATGGACTTGTTGTCCAAGATAAAATATTCCAATAAAAATGGACCTTTTCTCCAAGATAGAGCATTCTAGAAAAGATGGACCTTTTACCCAAGTGATATAGTAAATAAGTCACTGTGGATGTTATCTATCTCTGTGGGCTTTCTAGGTGTTGATAATGTTTCTTTCCCATGATAGATTGTTAAAGATGTATCAATATGCAATTATGTGTTCATGATTGTTGGCCATGTTGAATATTGCTGAGCTAGCAAGAAAGCTGAGCTAGCAAGAAAGCTTCACTAACCTCCCTCATGCATCAAAGGAGAAGATGTAAGAATAAATTATTGTGCCCCTTTGTCCATTTGTCATGAGAAGCATTATATAACATTGTTGTGTATGTTTGGCAGTGTACCAAGATAAAGAATGTATAGCATAAATGTATGTCGCAGTGTTGCTTTATTGAGCCAAACACTACTGGTCAATGATACTTGCCAACACATAAAAATATAGAAAAATGTAGAAATATGTAGCAGATTGAGATTCCCGATGATTGGTAATTTTTCCCCTCTATATATAAAGAATAATGATGTGCATGATCGCTGACCATGTTGTAAAAATATCATAGGGTCAGCCGTGAATAGCTTCCTCATAGCTAAAATGACAATAGTGGCTAGCTTTGCCCATGGTTAGAGTGTGAACTATGTGGAATTAAAAGAGCATTCCTATTAATCTGCCATGCTACGAAAGGGATAAATCTCATTAATCCCTAGGACTTCGCCATAGCAATGATTATGTGATAAAATTGTGTGGAGTTTTGTCCATGGAAGGGCGATGCCAACCATATCCATAGCCTTTGATACGGATGTGTGATGCCAAACAATGGCCCTTCTTGTCATACCCGCACCATTAGTGGATGGTCCTGGTTGTTGTTGCTCGCCAAGCACCACACCATCATGCATAGACAACCACCAAAGAGCCGTTGACCACAACTTGATGGTTTCTTATTGTTGGAGGGTAGCCACCCCAACTAATTACAGGTCATGCTAATTGTATTGAGTTGCACTGACTCTTTGTCCATTTTTAGGAGCTAATGAGAATAGAATATATAGAGATTTGACCCTCTGTCCATTTATGGGAATCACTGTAGCAAAATGTGTAGAAGTATGTAGCCTTTTGCTCATTGTTGAAGACTAAATGAGATAGCAAATTTGGCCCTTTGTCCATCACTAGAGCCGTGTAGATGTGATAGGATCAGCTCGTTGTCCATTGATGAGAACTAGTGATAGAGATATGCAGAAGTAGATGTTTGGCTCATTGTCCATCTCCGGGAGCTATATAGATGTGATAAAATCAACTCGTTGTCTTTTGATGGGAGCCACATATGTATAGCAAGATAGGCTCTTTATCCATTCCTAAAAGCCAATTATAGTAGTAAACATTGCAATAGAAATCATGACCATCAAAAAATATCTAGCCATATTGTGTAGATAAATGTAGCTGTATCTGACCATGTATAAAAAAATGCTGCTGAAGTAAACATGTCCATATCATTCCTAACGAAGTGGGTAAATGCTACTTCTAGCCACATATAAAACAATAACGTTGAGTATTGCTTTTGGTAATGCTGACTCCATTACGGTAATTAATAAAAATATATATATAATATAGCATATCTGATGTAAAGATAAGTCATGTGAACCTTCTGGTCGAAGTAGATGTGTTATAAGTAATTCAACACAACTAGAGCAAAACTTCAACCAAGAAATTTGATATTATTGATAAAGCTTCAACAAAGGTAGATTCAAACACGATTAGAACAAGAATCCAACCAAGAGATTTGATGTTGCTAATGAAGTTTTAATGAAGATAGAATCAAGCATAGCTAGAGCAAAACTTCAACCAAGAAATTTGATTTCATCAATGATGATACTTTGATGTGGAGAGAATCGAGCATGGCTAAAGTAAGAGTCTAGCCAAGGAATTTGATATTGCTGATGATGATGCTTCGGTATAGATAGAACAAGGCCAAACTCAACCACAAAGATAAATAATAAAGATGAAACTCAAAAAATGTTTAAGAAGTCGAAGGCTCTTTGTATATAATAAAATATCTGCATGCTTGGCTAAGCCTTTTTAAGTATATTCACTTGCATAGTTCAAAATGATAAATGCAATTTAAAAGCACTCAGGTGATGACTCTGAACAATGTAGATATATGGCTGGAAGGTTGGCCTTAGTGACGTCATCGCTGTAGTTCCAATAGTGATAATACAATTTCCCCTTTGAAAAATAATAGATCTGGAGTGAGATACAACAAGTAAAGAAATTAACTTCTTACACATGTAATCTGAAGCCAAAGAGAAATTAAAGCACTCCAAAGACAATTATTAGAAATTGAGAAATTAACTTCCTCTTTTAAAGGAATTGAGTTGAAATTCCCTTAACTGTAGGCTTGGCTAAAAGTGTGAAGCTTCTACTAGCATGCTTGTAGATAGGGAAAAAGATGATAGATGGGTAAAGCTCTTCCAATAGTGATGAATTTCTTAACATTTATGTCAACTTTAGCTTTCATGCATACAAGCCAATATTAAGGATGTTTGCGCCGTTGGAAGTAAGCTTTTACAAACAAGGCAATTGTAGCATGCTAAGAAACCAAACAATAGACTTTGCTATAGGTGATAAAAGCCATTTAGAGAAATTGGTTGTGATTACACCATCTATGATGCCATGTATCATGTGGAAAAGATCATGGGGCCTTGTGAGTTGCTACCCAAAGAGAGTTGCATGATAGTTTGGCTATGACTTAGTTGTTCTACCAACCCTTTTCTTGAATAGCTTTGATTGGGACTTAGCTATGAGGCTTTACATTGCTGATGTCGCTGCAACCATGTATAGCAAGGCCTTATATTGCTAGTGTCACTATAACCATATAGAACGAAAACACTATGTGCTTGCCCATATCAGGAATTTCGAAATATGAGCATAGCTACAACAAAGGCATTGGCGAATGGTAAGGACAGGAGGCTGGCGATGTTGAGGTTGGAGGTAAATAAAGTTCCCCATTTTTGCTTTAAGCCTTAGTTCTTTTTCATTTGAGATCTTGGCATGGCTAGATATATATAATAAAGAGATTTTGACACTTATGTTGTTCGTGTAATTTTATAGGGGAAGCTAACCAAATAATTTTTTCCAAGAAATTAGCATTAGGCTAAAGAAAGAGTATGACCAAGCCATTCAAGAGTGAAGCCTGCAAGTTTGGTACTTCGTCAGCCAGCAAACAAATCAAATTTAAGGCATCCATGCCTCACAAAGCTAAAATGCTCAAGGAAACTAAAGAGAAGACAAGCGTGTGCATTGATGAGCTTTCCATGCATAGCCAATACAAACTTTCCATCATTATTGACCTCATTAAGAAATCATTGTACGTGAGTCATTGTTTATATGTGCAGGCCCCATCTTCTAGTGAAGGACTACGCCCCATTCTTATTCTTGGTAATGATGAAGTTTCATCTAAGGCAAAAGAGGCCAAGAATGTAAAGGCTTTAATGAAGAACATGGATGAGGGCTTTAGCGAAGAACATGGAGAAGACTCTGACAAAAGAACATAAAGGAGGCTCTAGCAAAGCTTGGAGTTCTCTACAAGATCATTGTTGGTGAAGCACATGAGCCTTCAATGCTTGACAACATGGTTGGCTTAATTGAAGACATTATTGATTAAAATGATTTTGCATCCTTTGCAGCTAAAGTGTAATAAAAAGAACAAAGGCAAGTGCAGCTTCTCCATGGAAATCCACCATGGTAAGTCACATACACTTTGCGAGCAACTTTCATGATACAAAGGTCATGGCTAAAGGATATTACTTCATGCACTTTCGTTAACCTTAAGACTTTTGTCTTTTGTATGGATGCAGACAAGAAGAGGTGTGAGAGTTTTTATAAGGCACTCCTGAAGCAGTGAAAAAACCCAAACTGATTGAAGATCAGCCAGCCAAGATAGCAACAAAGGTATGCATACTTTTGTTCTCTAACAAACATGAAGCATTTTCACCATTGTTAGAGTTGTCACATTTTTTACTTAGTTGCCTTTTACAATAATAGAGCAAGCTTGAGGAATCACCACTTTTTAGAGCCAATAATGTTGTTTCGGTGCCAAAAAAAAGACTTTGAGTAAAAAGAGTGTTCAGACTGCCATTGTTGTGAAAAAAGGTAGACTAGCTAATAAAAAAATATAATGTATAATTTGGTACCGTGTCTTCTCGGAAAATAAGTTGTTTACTAAACAATTGGCTCTTTCTTGCTTTGCTAAATGTTGAGGATGGTAAGGTTGCAATTCAAGTAGTTGCCAACGAAGATAAAGGTAAGAAGGCTGCAAAGAGGCTAGCCCAAAATCTAACAAAAACAATGACATGAAATCCACCAAAAGTGATGAAGCATCAAAAGGTAACTATAAGTCTAGCTATAAAAGCAACAATGAAGATGATGGCATATCTAATGTTGAAGCTGGCATAAATAAAGTTGCACTAGAGAGAGAGAGAGGCAAGCCATGCTTAGCTATGGCCCAAAAGATTCCATTCTTAGTGAAGATGAGGTAAATGTTGATGAACTAACCATAAGCATAACGAAGAAGGCCATTTGCTATGGAAAAATCATGTTTGAAGATGAATCTTCCTTAGATACAACCAAGTTGAGTGACATAAATGACATACGCAACAAGGCTAAGAAAGTAATGTCCAAGATTGCCTTTATAACTCCTTGAGAATTCCTTCATGACTCTTTGTGTGGCTATGAGGCACATAGAAGTAACTCCCTTTGTTGAGATGGATGAGGAATTCTTTCATTTATGTAGGGATGCCATAGATGACACTAAAAGCATAAACTTTGAAGTTGGAGCAATTCGGGTGAGCATAAGCATACCTTAGCAAAGGCAAGTTCGACATGATTGGGAGTGACATGGTTGGTAACTTGGATGAGTAAATTGAGGAGCAAACAAAGCATGTTGAAAATGTGTAGAAATCCTTGGCTAAGGCAAAAGAGCTTATGCTTAAGTTAGAGGCAACATTGAAATTAGTTGAAGCACATCTAAAGTTACTTCAACCAAGTGAAGAAGTTCCTAGGTTCCAATAAAGTCACTTGGCTTCATCAGAACAGTGTTGAAATAGTTAGTAAATATGGTGATGAGCTTGGTCCATTTGTTCTATGAGTAGCCATATTCTTCGGCCCCTATTTCTATGAACAATTCATAACTGCTACTTTTTTGTTGACTGTCAATGTCAATGTTGCTACTTGTGCTATAAAGTAACCCCTTACTATCTATGCTTGTTTTTTAGGTTGAACATCTTTATGTCTAATGCAATCTAGCTTTCCATGCTTAAACATCAACCTTCTGTGACTTGTGATAGCCATAGGCTTAGTGCAACACTTAAAACAAGTAGAAATTTGATATTTATATATAATAATGCAGAGATCGGGAAGGTTGCTTTTCATCACTATTTTGCTTTGTGCATCTCTTTTCTTTATGATACATCCAAGAAATACATGTATTATATATATA